CTTTTCCAATTTTAGGTGAGGCGGGGGCGGAGGGAGCTGCAGAGTGCAGGGTGGTGGGTTTCCACCTCCGTGGCCCAGGTTGAGACCGTGCCGGGGGGGGTTGCAGCCCGCCGTGGGTGTGCACAGCCTTGCACGGGGCAGCCAGACACAGAGTGAGGCATGTGCAGAGTTGGGGTGAGCCAGGATTGCCCTAGTTTCAGCAGCCTCCCACGGAATCCTCCGTGGGGCATTTTGCAAGCCCCGTGAGCAATGCGTGGGGTGGGCGAGGGACATCCAGCACTGAAGCCACAGGGTGTGTGTCAGCTCAGTGTCCCTGCTGCTGCATAATCGGTATTGGGGGTCCTTGAACCCCGTGAAGTGGCCCCACTCATCTGAACAGCCTGGCCATTGTGCAGCTCTTGGGGTGCCCCCCAGTGAAGCAAGAAACCAGGGAGAGAAGCAGCAAATGGAGAATGGAAACACTCCAAACACAGGCAGCTTGCAAGGAGGGAAAATGATGCCAAAAGAAACTACTTTGGGGCCCAGACACAGCCTGGCTACAGTATTGTTTTGGCGTAATTAAAGTCTTGCCAAAGCTGCTTTGCATCCCCTGCTTTTCTGTGTGCTTTGTGCTGTGTGTGACCTGCCTGTGCCAAGCCTTGCTCCACCACTGGAGGTGGAGGTCTCACCTGAGTCTTGCTTTGGAATGAATCCTTTTCACTCATCGCTGTCTCTTAAACCCTTCTAGACTGCTGATGAAACCAGACTGGCTTGTGTCCAAGTAATTGTTCTCCAGCTGCAGGATCAGACACTGCCAGAATTTCTTAACCTGCAGTAAGATAATAAGTTCAGGATAATTCCTTAAATCTTGCTGCATGGTACCCCATCACCCCAGCAGCTCAGGCTATTCCTGCATCTCAGTCCCTCACACTCCCTGAATTTCTCAATCACCACTTTTCCCGCTTCCTTAACCTTTCTTAACCTATCCATATTCTGGAGCAGACCTGGAGGGTCTGGTGGGCTGCCTGTTGTTCATGCTGGGCGGTGTGGGAGTAGGCAGTGCCTGTTCGTGCCAGGATGCCCAGGGCTTGGCACTGAGCTGCAAACAGGACTCAGCAGGGAACCTATGAAGATCCTGCAGCCCCCTGGATGGTGATACCTGGGCAAAGAAGGGGTTTGGGGGCAGTGTCACTTATACCTTGGAACAGCATGGACTCAGATGTTTTGCTTTCCTGCAGGCCCAGCAGTTGTGTGAGATGGTGCCAAGTGCTGGTGTCTATTACTTCCCATGGGAGATCAACAGCTCAGTCCCTGAGGGGGAGGCCCTGAGGACATTTGGCAGGTGAGAAGGGTACCCTGCTCTCCTTGTGGGCCAGGGGATGCCATAAATGAGCCTTTCCTTCACTGGCTCACTCCCCTCACTTGGTTTGCAGTTGTATTTCTGCACCCCTGAGCTTCCCAAATCCATCATTCCCAGGTTATACTGCTATGACCTGACCCGATCTGAAGCTGTTCTCACCGCTCAGCACAGCTCAGCTCAGTACCAGGTCTGTGTCAACACCAAGTTGGTGGAGCCGTTCCAAGCCCAGCTGGGATCTTTCTACATCGTCCTGGGAGAGGCTGAATACAGGGAAGGTAAATGCTCCAGGAACCGGTGCCCTTTGCTGCTCTTCATGGGTCACTGAGGGCAGTGTGGGCCAAGGCAGCTCGTGTCGTGCAGCTGCCTCCATCTGATCCAAGGAGCAGCCTCTCTGTCCCTGTTGACCATAAGGAGAGCCACCCTTATCTTGGCGAAAATCTGATGCTCTGGCACAGATTTTGTTAGAGACAAGAAGTACCTCAGCAGCACCGCTGGGCTCATGAGACCTGTGCTAAAGCCTTCTGGCATCACCAGCAGCCACCACGCCAACCATCTTTGCTCTAGTCGTGGCTGATTGCAGCAATACCTCGTTGCAAGCTCGCTGGGTTGGTCTTTGCCATCCTTGAAAGGCTCTAATTATCATCCCTGCCCTCAGACATGTGAGGAATTCAGGCAGGCTCTGTCATGCAGGGCACCCTGTTGTCCTTTCCTGGGGTGCCCTGTGCTCCAACTGCTTCCTGTGGGGAGTTGATCTGAGCTGGGCTGAGATGGTGAAGCAAATCATTTGTTGCCTTGGCCACACCTGGTAACAAGTATTTACATCTGTGCCACTGAAATCCTCGGAATGTGGAAAACCACACTGCACGTGGCCTCTAGAGAGTGACCTGCTACACCACTGCCACGAAATTCCTTTAGAAAGACGTTATTTTGGTCATCACAGCCTGGGAGTGAGTTGAACCCCTTTTGCAGGGGTGGAAGGGGAGCAGGCTGAGATGATGTCTGTGTCAACAAGGTTTGGCCCTTCCGTGCAGCTCCATGTTACCATATGACTGCCACCAGTGAACTGTTGGTTATAGTCAGCTTTGAGCCTCTTCTAAGCCCAGCTTTGTTCTGTCCTGTTGTCTGCACAGGAGCATTCAGAAATGAGATTAGACCCGTCCCTGCTGCAGGAGAAAGCAAACTCCATCCAGCCACAAAGTAGACAGATGCTGCATGGCAGGCACTGGCACCGTTCCCCAGTGCAAGCAGACCGCAGTGTCAGTCACCTGCATTTTGTAGCCATCAGGGCAGAGGGAAAGCATGTCACTGAATTAACCTGCTCCCAGGCCTGCTGCTCCCTCACTGAATTGGCCAGTGGACAATCCAGTCTCCTGGCTCTTCTTGGGCTATGGTTGGTTCCTTGTCCAGCTGGAGCCATGTGCTGCCTCAGGGAACTCTCTGTCTCCAAGCTGCTCTGTCTGTTTTTCTTTCTACAGAAACTTCCAGTCCCGTGGTAAAAGCACGAATATTGACCTGCGTGGAAGGGATGAACGTGCCCTTGCTGGAACAAGCCATACAGGAGCAGAGGAAATACTTCAAGGAGAGGCAAGAGCAGAGGGAAAGCAGCACATCCTGACAACTCCAAGACCATCCATAGGCTGGTCCTTGCACTGCCATTTGAAACAAATATGTTAGAAGTAAATTAGGATGTGGGTTTGCTACATGGGCTTTGCTGTGGCAAACAGGAGAGTCACTGAACAGGGAAGCACTTGAAGACTGTGAGTCAGTATGTGACTGTGGGTTATGCATTCACGCCAAGTGTCATCACTGGAAATAGCTCTGGGAAGGTTTGTTGTTTGTTTTTTGAAAGGGTGACTAAGGAAGGGGAGCACTTGGGTTATAATGGTCCTTTTGTAATGCAGGGACCGGAGAAGTCGGGAAAAGGAGAAGACTGAATCTGGAGTTAAGCAGCTCATTGTTGGCAGATTGGAGGAAAGAGGAAAGGGTCATTAACACAAAGTAAAGTTCATTAGCAAAAAGTTCATCAGCCCTGTGGGGCTGCAGGTTCATGAGTGCCTGAGTTTGGGTGCCCTGACTCAGTTGCCACACAGGAACATTCCTGGCAAAGCACTCACTCACCTGGATTGACCAACAAAGAAACAAGAACAAAGAAACAAGAAGGACAAAGAGTCCATATTTTCAGTAGCAGCTGCCTCTTCAGGCTTTCAGTAGGTGGTGTCCAAGGGCAGGATTGATTTTACCTCTAAGATAAATATTTGTAGTGCCCTGACAACCATCACTTGACTTTCTTCCTTGACACAACTAAGTTTAAGAGATCTTAAATCCCTTTTGAGAGATTTAATTTTTTGGGATTGATATTTTCCTAAATAAAGATGAAAAGAGAAGGGCAGCATGTCTTTTATTGATTGAAACCCTCTTTTTTGCCAAGTCAAATGCATTAGGCCCTACACAAACCTTGTGACTGATGTAAGAAAATTCAGTGATCCACATTTTTCCTCTTCCTAAGTACTGGGTGTGTAAGGAAGTGGTTTGTTTTGAAAAAGTTGCAAGAAAAGGAGATGAAGTTGCATCAGAGTCACTCTGGTTGAAGAACATGGTGCCAGGCCCACCCAGCAGAATTAAACCACTGGCAAAAGGACAGAAAATCACGAATGTCAAATGAGAATAAAATGGTTTTTCTGGTGAAATGTGCAGAAAATAAGGATTGAAGCTGTCCAGTGCACAGCAGCAGATAAAATATAACAGGTGTTGGCACAGTCCTGTTGCCAGCAGGCTTGATTCAAGAGCTTGAGATGGCAATTGCACTGCCTGCATTAATCTTTAATCATAATTTAGTCTTATGTTTTTCTTCACCCAGTTACAGAAATAGAAAAGCTATGACTGAGCACACTCTGTTCAGCCCAAAGCCAAAACCATGATTTCAAGAGGCAAGATTATAACCTGGTTTTATATGAGGCAACGATGAGTCTGTCATGATGCATTTATGTTTACATCTCATCTCCTATCTGTTCTACCTTCCTCCCTATGCTTAAATTTTATCCAAATGGCCAAGTTTGCCAGAGTTGGGATTATCCAAGATGCCAGGACTGAGAATATCCAAAATACCAGGTTTCTACAAGTGTTATTAAAAAAAACAACCCACAAACCCAACCAGCAAAGAACAGAACAAATTTGGCAATAACTCCAGACAGATATTTCAGTGCGAACTCAACCTTCATGAGCCACCAGAGAAACCACAAAAGAGTTTGCCATGGCCGTGTAGATCCCACTTCAGCCACAGAGCAACCGATGCTTTGGTTTTTTTTTCAAATTAGCAAAATCAGGATTAATTAAAAAATAAAATAAATAAATAAATAAATAAATAAGGAAATGGAGCTGCTGGCTCAGCAGTGGGCTAAATCAGCCTTTTTTAAATTCACGTAAAAGTTGGAACTGTGGACCCAAACAACTGCCAGGTCCATGACCACTCAGAGACGTGGAGCCCCCGAGCCCTCCAGATGACATTCCCTTTGGTTTTGCCTTTCCTGGTGCCACAATGCATAAGATTATTTTAATCTTGTCTTCTGTCAGCTGTCAAGTCAATAATTAATCCCTTCTCAAGGGCATCTTCCAAAAGGCTGACCAAGCGGCACAGCCCACGGTGGGAAGGTTAAAGGGACAGTTGCGCAAGACACACACAAAAAAAGGAAAAATAAAAAGAAAAATAAAAAAAAAAAAGATAAAAAAGACATCCTGCTGGGTCTTTGACCTCAGTGTGTCCCAGGGAACACTAATCCTGAACCTGATTATCCCCTTGATGCCAAAAACTGTACAAATGGAGCGGGGGATTTTCCCCTGGCACTGTGAAGTTCTTACTGCCTTTCCACAGGCCCCAAAGGACCTCTTTACATCCATTTTCCTCAGTTTTTGGCTTTAGCCAGCACACTGCACATCTCAGGCAGAACAACCGGCCCTGGTAAGCCGGTGTGTGGTTCTTTGGGTCTGCCCAAAGCCCCCCGGACACCCCCTGACCCCAGAGTGCCCAGACAGCCCTGTCCACCCACAGCCGCCCCAGGCAGGTCCCTGAGGGGGACCCTCAAGGCTGAGGGAGCAGCAAGTGGTGACTCAGACCCCGGCAGCACCTCAGGGGACATCCAGGGAGACCAAACCCCTCCCCAACATTCACCCTTTTGTTTCCCGCCTTGTTTTTTCCCCTCAGAGCGCGGCGCCGGCCACCCCCTCGCCGCCATCGCCAGGCGGAGGCAGCCCCATGGAGGCCATCCAGGAGTCATTCCAGAAGGTGGAGAAGATCGGGGAGGGTACTTACGGTGTGGTGTACAAGGCTCGCAACAAGCGCACGGGGCAGCTGGTGGCCCTCAAGAAGATCCGCTTGGACGCGTGAGTGGGGCAAAGCCACGGGGCAAAGCCCTGGGCCCGCCATGGCGCCAGGCTGGCATCTGAAAGGGTGCGAGAGGCTCAAAAAAGCCTGACATGAGGGAAAAAAGTGTCTCTATCATCTCGAGCGAGCGGTTAGGGCCTTGCCCAGTAACACCAGACCCTGGGCCCAAGGCGTGGGGCAGGGGGAAGCAGCTGCCATTTTGGGAGGTTGTCTCTCCCTCAGGGCTGTGGTGTGGGGGTCTGGTGAGGTTCAGCCTCCCAGCGGGGTCGGCCTCAGCCTCTCCAGGGTGGGACTGAGCAGGTAAAAGCTCATTGCCCTTCCTCTGGATCAGCCCTGGGCTGTCTGCACAGTGAGGGGTGTTTGTGGGCAGGGGAGCCATTGTGGTGGGACTGCAACCCCATGGTGGCCCCTCAGGATGGGTTGCCTGAGGGCCAAAGAGCTTTCGTCTCTCACCACCTCCAGAAAGCAAGACCTGGGCATTTAAACCATTATTGCCTCTCTAAATGCACCCTCAGGTGCTTCCAAACAAGCTCTGCCCTGGGGCTCACACTATCTGGGTCTCCTTGCCCACAACTCCATTGCCCCCTGTCTCGCTCCAGGCACTGCTCCATCCCAAACTCAAATGCTCCCCTGGGTAGGTGATGGGGTACAGTGGAAGAGGGAAGGGACACAGGACCCCAGTGGGCTGTGGGATCCCCCTGGGTCACAGGGTGCCATACAGCCTGTCTCTGCCACAGGGAGTCGGAGGGTGTCCCCAGCACCGCGATCCGGGAAATCTCGCTGCTGAAGGAGCTGAAACACCCCAACATAGTCAAGTAAGATGAACCCTGCCCCATACTAGATGCTGCCTTTAAATCTGCCTCTCTCTGCTCCAAAGGGCTCACAGAGCAGAGGCATCTGTGGGATGAGGGATGTTTGGGTATTCACAGAGGTTTAGGAGAAGGTACTGAAGGGAGAATCTGCACTTCTTTTGCAGGCTCCTGGATGTCATACACAGCCAGAAGAAGCTCTATATAGTATTTGAGTATCTGAGTCAGGACCTGAAGAAATACATGGACTCATGCCAGTCTGGAGCACTCCCTTTAAGCTTGGTCAAGGTACAGTGTGGAAGGAGTGCCAACAGGCAGGGCAGAGAGCACGTATCCCTGCTGCCTTCTGCTGGGCAGACTGCACCTTGAAAAGATTCCTCAACCTCTCAGACCCCAAACATTCCAGCTGGGAAACCCTCATGCCACTACTGCCCAGTACAATTATTTCCCAGCTGTTTCCACCCTCTCAAGCCCATCTCTGCTGCAGAGTAAACTGAGGGATCTATTGCTCATTGCCTTTATAGTGAGTAATGATGAGTGGGAGGAACTGACACTGCCTGGATTAGAGTCCTTCTGACCTCATGCAGGGTGGGAGCAGGTTGTGTGTGTCTCTGAGTAGTGGCCCACAAACCTGATGTTGCATTGTAGCAAGGTCTTTGTTCCCATTCAGAGCCATAAGTAATCCGAAGTGTGTTGGTTCACATGATCCAGCATTCAAAGTGTTTTCATCATGGCCTTACCTGAAATCTCTTCTCTCCTTAGAACTACCTTTTCCAGCTGCTGCAGGGTGTGAGCTTCTGCCACTCGCATAGGGTCATCCACAGGGACTTGAAGCCGCAGAACTTGCTCATTAACGAAGCAGGAGCGATCAAGTTGGCTGATTTTGGACTGGCAAGAGCTTTCGGAGTCCCGCTGCGCACATACACTCATGAGGTAGTGTTGAGGCTCCCACAGTGGGGTACACAAGCCACAGCGGGTGAACAGTAGCAGCAGCATCACCACAAGTTACTCATCCATAACAGAGGCACAGCCATACCCAGGAACACACTCTTATCCTGACCTGCAGCTAAAAAGTTACCTCATATGCCCTCAAAGTCTCCTGTCTCTAGCCTGGCTGCAAGCTGGGTTCCCACCTTCTCTGCGCAGGGTATATTGATTTGTTTCAGAGCTTGTTTGTTGGTTCCTTTCCAGGTGGTGACTCTGTGGTACCGAGCCCCTGAGATACTGCTGGGATGCAGGTACTACTCAACCCCTGTGGATATCTGGAGCATCGGCTGCATCTTTGCAGAAATGGTAGGATGGGTTTAAATACTGTCTTTAATGAGCAGGGAGGAGGCAGCTGCAGTGGGAAGATGGGATGAGATGCAGAACATCTGTGATACTGTGATACTTTCCCACTCTCTTAACCACCCTGAGGGTTAGCTGATCCTTATCTCAGAGAGAAATCTATCACCCCCAGGGGCCTGTCAGAAGGTTGCAGTTCCAGGTTCATGGGGACATGGTGCCTCTCCTCGCAAAAGGGGTAACTTCTGTCTTGCTGTCGCAGTATTTTGATCTTGGGAGGAGAGGACTCTCTTCCAGATGTCTCCACAGTGGGCTGCAGAGAACTAGCACTGTTGTAGCGTGGCAGAGTGCATATCCTAGGGGCCCGTATTCCCCTTGGAAGAGCTCTGGTTATCCCTGCAATGTCATAGCACTATGCCTTGTTCCCAAAGTTCCTGAGCTGCAGAGTAGGTGGGAGGGAGCGAGCCAGGGGTGGGTGTTAAAAACTGGAGACAAAAAGGGAAAAGGGACTGGCTGAAAGAGGGACAGCCCCAGGGCAGCACGGATCCATGGAGGGGAGCTGGAGACAAGCAGTCAGACACCTGCGACTTTCCCAACCACTGCCTGGCATTGCAAGTGTCCTGTTCTAGGACAAAGGGCTGCCTGCAGCAGGAAATAGGGCACACAGCTGATGGAAAGGTGGGAACTGCAGCCTTCTCCTCTCCTTCCAGATGACCAGGAAGGCCCTGTTTCCAGGGGACTCCGAGATCGACCAGCTCTTCCAGATCTTTCGCATCCTGGGCACTCCCACCGAGGTGACCTGGCCCGGTGTGACCCAGCTGCCTGACTACAAGGGGAGCTTTCCCCGGTGGCCAAAGAAGGAGATGAAGGATGTTGTTCCCAACTTGGATCGAGATGGGAGAGACTTACTGACGGTGAGTGAGGGCTGAGAACAAGACCTGGGGACAGATAGGACCTTTTCAAACTGGCAAAGAATAGAGATATATGAGACTGATTTACCTGGAAGTGTAAATCTGATCGGGGTCTGAAGCTCACGCCTGCCATTGCAGAAGCACCAAATCATGGAATAGGGCTCAGCAGGACAGTCACTGCATGTTCCTCTGGTAACCCCTGCACTGGGAGTCAAGGAAATCTTCTAACATAATCCCCACAGTTATTTATTTGAGTTGTGAGTGACTCCTCAAGCCCAGAGAAGGGAAAAGGCAGGACCAACACCTGCAAGTGGGCCCAGCCACGTGTGGGTGCGATCGATCATTCAATTTTTAAAATCCTGACTCTGCTGGGTTTTTCTCCTGGCAGCAATTGCTCCTGTATGATCCCAGCAAGCGCATCTCAGCCAAGGCAGCCCTCAACCACCAGTACTTCCTCTGCAGGAGCTCCGGGACCCCTGAACAGCGACGTGCACTGCGGAGAGAATGCAGATGAGAGGACGCAGCTCTCCCCAAGCTCCTGCACCTCCAGGTAGCACCGCAGCTCTGGTTTGGGGCCCAGCTGGGACTTGGGGTCTTGCTTCTCCTGAGGAGCCTGGAAGGGGACATTCTCGGCATTTAGAGACTCTCAGCCCGTTGCTGGGGGAAAGTTTGTTTTGCAGCCAGAGAGCTGTTTTGAAGAGGTCATGTGCAAAAGGGTGGGGATCATTTAACAGCATAAAACACTGTTTTATGCAATGTACAGAAGAGAGAGCATCTCTCAGAGGTTTGTCCTTGCATTAGTGAGTTAAGGTGACACACAGTGAGTTCTATCTCCAGCACTGGAGCATCCCTAGGTCTGTCAGTGGCAGTTGCTGGCACCAGGGCGTGCTGGAGCTCCACTTTGGGAAAGGGAGCACTTCTCTGCTGGGCTCTACACATTGTTTAATCTGAGCTGTTCAACAGAGCTCACATCCTGCTCTTCCACAAGCTGAAGAGCACTATCAGGAGTCTTAATTTGTGCCTTAGCTGGGACCTAGAAGCCAAAAGACCCAGTTAGCATAAAGTAGATCCAGTTAGGATAAAGCACTTGCTGCATATGACTGGAAACAGGAACAGCTAAACCACTGACTTTCCATCATCATTCCAGAGGTAATGCTGTTTCCTCTGCTTTATTGTATTGGAAATGTATTTGCAGTTCAGATGTTTGGAGAATTGTCACTAATTCTTGGTGTGGTTTTGACATTTTCATTTTTTTTCTTTCAGTACAGAATAAAATATATACTTGTAGTTTGTTCAGAAACCTTGGTGTTTATTATTTGGAACAGCCCATCAGGCTGCTGACGCAGGACAACCTGGCTAGTCCTTTTTTCCACAGAGCTGCTCTTCCTTCCTCATCTCCTGCACTCTTTCTTTTATTCTTTCCAGCCCAAACCCTTGGCAGGTGCAGAGATGTGCTCTCAATTCTGCTGTAGAACAAAAGTCTGATAGTTCTGCAGCCCAGTGTCTCACAGGGGTAAGCTGGGCTTGTTTTCCATCAGAGCTCACCACAAACCAGATCATAGTTATGTTCTGCTTATTTAAATTCTCAAAAGACAGATTTAACTCAAACTTCTGTGCTCCTGTTTTTCATGCATGTGCACACATGTGCCCTCCTAATACCTGTGATCCCAAAACCTGTTTTCAGCACAACTGATATCTCTGCTCCTGCAGCATCTTTTGGCCTCTGTATGGTGACAGCCAACAGGGGCGTGTTTGTGGATGAATCCACGGAGACATGGATGAATTCTGCTTGGGAATCATTTCCCTGCCTCTGCATACATATTGTAAAGTCAATTAATTTCATACAGACAATGCTCCACTGATTGCTCTATGCAAACAATGCTCACCTGACAAACTGTTTGCAGGAGAGTTTCATTTTTGTTTTGTTTTTAAAAGATCTGCATTAAGAAATAAATACCAAGGACATTCACCCAGTCCAGAAACATAGATAAAAACACTACAGCCCAATAAAATGAAGCAACAGGCTGAATTTTTAGCCTTTTGGTATCCACCTCCACTGCCAGCAATCAACAACAGCTGTGTTGAAATAACTGCTCTGGGAAGACCACAATTCATCACCCTGTGCTTGGGAAGGGAGGAGAAGCCATACCTGGATTTTCCTGAGCAGCTGACAACCCTGCCAGACAGCCAGGCCCTGGGGAAAGCCCCATGGCTGGGTGGTGCTTCCTACAGACACACCAGGACATGACATGAGCTGCTTTCTGCAGATGAGGGGCACTTGGTAGTAAAGAAAAGGATTTTTAGTGATTTTTTTTTTTTTCAGACTAGACTAGGCTGCTCAGCCGCCTAATCACCGCTGAACACCTTCACCCAGCCCCAGGTAAATACCTCCCACCACACTGTTAGGGAACAATTTGTCCAAAATGATTAACTGACTACCTAATTACCAGAACTCCAAAGTCCCTGTGCTTACAGGATAGGCAACAGCCCCATTGCCAATGGATCTTCCCTGCTTTCAGGCAGCTGAGAGGAGCAAAGCCAAGGCACTGCAAGGCTGCTTCCAGCAGCTTTGAAGAGCTGGGACCCAGGGACTGCCAGGAACTGCACTGTCCAGGGCTCCTGGGTTGTGCTGGGACATGATCCTTACCTGGCCATGCTCCTGTGCTCCAAGGGCTGTAGGACTTTCCCTGGCAGGCCAGAGTTTCTCTCCTGATCCATCCTAGCCCAGCTCCTGCCCTTGCTGCTGGTCCAGAGCAGCAGTGCCAGCAGTGCTTTACCAAGAGGAAGGAGGCTGGGAATGGATGCTTCAAATTCCAGACTAAATGGAAATAGAGGATAACTGATGCTCTGGTGAGGGAGGGAGGGGGTAGAAACCTCTGTCCTTATGGATTATTTGGGTATGTTGGAGTTACTGAACAGCATCATATAAAAGAGCCCTTGGAAGAGGGAGAAGAGCAGCTGACATCAGTAGAAAGTAATTTTTGTAATCTGACAAAGCCAGGGGGTGCTCCACAATGGGGCAGATAATCAGGGAGAACTTTTGGGATATGAGATTTGCTTGTTTCAGCGAGGACTGAGCGGTGGAGGTTACACAGAGGAGTGACTTCCTTTTAGTTCACCTAAAGAAATAGTAAGTACAGATTTCCCAGTACTGCTGGGTGGAACTGCACCCTTTGGTGACCTAATCCCTCTTTCAGAGGTGTCCAAATGACCAGGGAGCAAAGCCCCATTGGTTTGCAGTTTTAAAGACGAATATAATAAAGTCTTTAAAAATATGGACTCGCAGGGGGTTCAGTGCTGTGAGATCACAGGGAGCAAGAGCCTACAAACCCTCTGTAAACTGAGCTGCAGGGCCTGGGATCGCAGGGGGGGAAGAGTAGATGTGCCTTCAGCCGCTTGGCAGCCGCAGCCTGCAGAAACAACACAGCCACAGAGACACACTTGCTATGTTTATTGCATGCAGAATGACCCAGCTAGAAAACACTCTGGCTCTCCCCCCTTTCTGAGCATAACCACGTTCAGCCTACAGTGGAGTTCTCACAGCCAACCCCTCTTTGGTGCCACAGCAGCACCCGGGGGCTGCGGGGACCCTCCGTGTCAGGCCCGTGGTAGCGCCTTCTCCCGTGCACGGCCGAGCTGTGTGGGGAAGCAGGTAGCTAAGAGAGAAGAGTGTGCAGCCCTAAATGCTTGATGCTCCATTCCTGTGATCGCTGCTGCCTCCGTGCGGAGAGGTGTTTTGCAGGGATGAACTCCTGAAGGAACCAGCCCCAGTACATTCAATGCCTGAACCGTGAGAGCCTGGGGGAGCGGCTCGCCTGATGGTACCGCTGATACCCCTCGGATGCGGCCGGGAGCAGCAGGAGGTGGCTCAGAGAATCCTTCTGGCAGAGGGCCATGGCCTCCTTGTAATTTATCTTCTCCTTAGTGACAGGGTCAATGAGATCCTTCTCGTAGTTGGACTCATCCTGGAGCCTGTTGGCCAAGTTGCTGGTTATCATCCCGGTCTGGACAGCTTCCAGCACAGGTATGCGACCGGTTTTCTTGGGATCAATGAGCCCTCCAGTTAGATGCTGGACTTGCAGGTAGGGGAAAGCACTGTCCTTGGTCATCCAGCCCTTCTGAACTGCTTCCCCCACAGACAGCCTTCGCTTGGTCACCGGGTCCTCAATCCCCGTGAAAGCTTTCTGGGCATTGAGCAGTCTCTGCATGTAGGTCCTGTCAATCAGCCCCCTCTCAATCGCCTTATGAACTGAGAACCGGTCCCGAGAAATGAGGTCTATGATGCCCCCCGTGGCAGCCTGGGCTTCCAGCAGCTTCTGAGCTGTCATGGGATCGAGCAGCTTCTTCGCAAGAGCAGTTTTGATACTGTACTTGGTGTCGGTGGTGGTGTCATACACCCCGGCGATGGGGGATGTGTCATCACCTATGCCCTTCTGTGAGGCTGGGGGGAAGAAGGTTTGGGTTTGGTGGGTGGTGGGTGATGTGAGTGGGGATTTGGAGATGATGGAGCCAATCGAGAGGGATGAAGGAGGCTTGGTTTCCCCAGCCACCAGCAAGGCAAATTCAGAGATGGGAATCTTGCCATCCCGATACAGCTGGTACTCCTCCTTTGTGATCCTCCTTAGCCTTAGTGCATCATCGATGGAATACTGCTTCCCACTTTTCTTGTCAAGGAGAAGTGAGACTTCCCCATTTGGGCCCAGGGTGGTGACTTCCTCCCAGTCACACTCCAGCTCTTGCAGCTGGATATACTGGCCTCTGTCTATGATACCTCGCTTATAGGCCTCGTACGGGGACATGTCCTTCCCTGTCTCGGGGTCCAAGATAGAGATCTTGGTGGAGAGGTTCGTCTCTCTCATCTGGGTCTCGTGATTGATTTCTTCCCGGTTGACCTTTGACTGGAGCTCCCGAATGAACCTCTCCTTGTTGTAGATCTGGTCCTTCTCCCTAAGGATGTCTGCCTCCAGCAGGGAAAACTCATGTTCCCGCTGCTTCTTCTTCTGCCTGTCACTCTCAGTCCGCTGGTTGAGCAGTTTGGACTCCTCCCGAAGGAAAAGGACTTTCTGCTGCTTCTGCCTCTCCAGGTCCCGCAGTTCACTCTCCAAGTTGGCTCTCTCCTGGATGGCCAGGTTCCTGGCCTTCTGCAGCTCCGTCTCTTCGCGAGCCCACGTCCTCTTCATGCCTTCAGCTCTCTCGATCTTATCCCTGAGCCGCCGCACCTCCTCTTCTGCCTTTTGCTTGGCTCCTCTCTCCCTGCTCAGCAGCTCCCAGATCCGTGCACGTTCGCTCTCCAGCGCTCTGTCCTTTTCCACTCGAATCACCTCCTTGTAGATGGTCTTCTCCTGGGATTTTGTTTTCTGCAGGACATCGACCTGCACCTGCAGGTTCTTGCATTCTCTCTGCAAGCTCAGCACCTCCATCTTCTCCCGGTCCAGCTCCAAGCGCAGGTTGCTGGCAGACTGTTCCAGGACTGGATCCTTCTCCAGCTTCACCACTTCTTCCATGATGATCTTCTCTTGCACCGGGGCCGGGCTCTCCTCCAGCTCCTTTATTCTCAGCGTAATTTGTCTCATCTCCTTCTCCAGTGCAAGCCTCTTGCTTCGATCCTCCTGAAAGGTGAGCAGCTTCTCTTGCTCCTCCACCAGCACACGAACCTGCTGCACGTCGCGTTCCAGGCGGCGCCTGTTGCTCACCTCCTCATCCAGACTCCGTCTCAGCCTACTGTGCTCGTCTCGGAGCTTTGGGTCCTTTTGAGTCAGTATCACCTCTTGAACAACTACCTTCTCCTCTGGTTTCCTCCTCTCCAGGAGCATGTATTTGTTCTGCAAGTCATAGATTGCATCCTCTGCAGCTCTCCTCTTCTGAGACATGTTGCGCACCTCTTGACGCAGGCGATCGGCTTCCTTTTCCAAGAGTGGATC